AAATGGCTGAACCGCAGTTTCATCAGGTAAGAAGCTGATGATGGCACTGCTGTCACCACACCCGTTGCTCCGTGCTGGCCTGTGTTTGCCCAGAGAAGACGAGCTGGTTTTGGGGGGGCATGCTGACCACAGGGGCTGGCATGCTGTGCATCACCATCCCAGTCTGCTTGTAGGGAAGCTCTTTCTTTTCAGGGGCTGTGTGTAGAGACGAGGGGAGGTAGGAGAGCCCCTCTTCCAGACCTGGGCATTAGCAGCAAATCCCAAGAATTAAACCTGCCTGCATGGGCTGCCAGCTGGCGGGGGGGAGCTGAATCCTCGTCTGCTGAAGGAGAGAAATAACCTTCCTAATGAGTGAGTCCCCCTCCCACAGCCATCCCAGTCTGTCCTTATTGCTGGGCTTTCATCTTTTCAGGCTCAGATTCTCCAACCTTGAGAAGTTTAGTCTGTGTGGATTTGGGAGTGGCATCATCGTCCAAACTCATCTGTTCCTTCCCTCTCCAGGAGACACAGGGCAGTTTAACCTTTGCCCAACTTGAAGACAGGAGATGGGTATGTACAGGACCATGATCACAAGGTGCTTGGACTACAACTCCTGGGCCCCTGCATTGGCAACGAGCGCATGGTTTGACCTGCCTTAGAGTTTGCCAGCAGTCGGCCTTCTCACGAAAGCAGAGAGCAGGCACTCATTACACCTGCTAGCTACGTGCTTACATGCCTCCAGGAAGGGGTTTTGAAGGGAAAACTCTGCTGCTTCTCCAGCCTGGAGTCTATTGGAGATGGTAACCATAGTCAAGCGGATATGAGGCTCGCCTGAAATGCTGTGTGAATTTAAAAGGTTTAAGTGGTCTGTAGGTAGAGAAATATGGAGAATGGGAATAGAGACAGGGCCCCGGCCTTTCTTGCCGTGCCACTGAGAATAGGAGGTTATGGGCTGGTGCAAGGCTGACTTCAAGACTGACCTCAATTATTTCTACACCAAAGATGAGTGGATAAATAGTGGAGTAGTGATCCAAATGGATCCTTCCCAGAGACCCCAACACCGGTCTGTACTGATGGAGCACTGGTCATGGCCAGGGTCTACCAGTACCAAGCCCCACACAGCCTGCCCAGCCCCACAGCTCCTGCACACCCGGACAGTTGCTGGTTGTGAGCATGAGGACAACCCAGCTTGTTCCTCCCTCCTCTACCTTGAATTTGGGACTCAAAGGATTTGCGTTTCCACCACTCTCCTAATCCAAGGCTTGAAAGGAGCCCCAGACAAGCTAAGCCATTGGCGAAGGTGGAGAAAGGGAATGGCTTTTTTCCAGCTGGCTGCTTTCAATGAAGCAGATTCCCCCTCCTGACCCTCGTTTGCTCTCCCAGCGCAAGCAGCTTTGCTCGCCCCGTGGAAGTGCTCCAGGAGGCAAAGCAGGAGGATTTGGCCTTAGGACTGAGCAGGGGGGCAAGTGCTGGGAAACCATTTCTCGGCTGCCTCTCCACTGTGGTTGCCCCTGAGTAATTAGGCAATTCAGGCACCCTCCTGTAACTGAACAGGAATCAAATTCCTCTCCGTTCTCAGTGGGAAAGGACTGTTTTTGCTCTGCTCCAGCCCCATCAGGCGCTGAGCCCCAAGGTCAGGCTAGTAGGGGTTGACTGATACGCTGCTGTGTGCATGTGGGTGTCTGTGTTTCAGTGATGACTGAGAGCTTAATTGCTCTCCTAGGTCAGCAGCTCCACTTCCAAAATGGTTTTAAGGGGGCTGAGCTTCCTGCTCATTTCCTGATGGCCTCCAGTTGGGTTCGTGGCCTGGCTGGCTCCTGGATACCTGGAGTGCTGCTTCTGCTTGCTTCATAGCTCAAGAGTAGTGTAGAGGGCTGTACAGGGCCTGAGGGCTGTGACCCTGAGCCTCCTCTGTTTAGGAAGCTCTTGGGGGTCTTTCTGCAGGCTGGGGGTGACGGGGAGGCTGCTGTCTGCTCTAACACTTCAAGACTTGCAGATGAAGCTGTGATTAGGCAGTGTGTGTGTGTGTCTGTCTCTTTCTGTCTTCTGCTGTTTTCTTTAATTACAATCTCGGAGGTAATTTCTGACGCGTCATTAACAGTTCTGAGTAAACAAGGGGAATTCTCCAAATTATTCGCCATGAGCACAAAGGGAAATTGGCTTTCATCGTCTCCGTCTTCATCCAAAGAAGCAGCTGATCTGCAGTAGGCATGTGGAGGAAGGGAGCATCGTGGCTGCCCTCAGACGCCTCGAGTCAACTTGAGGCAGAGCGGCAACCCATCCAGCTTATCCAGCTGACTGAGAGGCCAGCGCTGCCTGCGGCTTTTGGTCCCTGCTGCTGAGCTCAGTGGCCGGGGCTCGTCACGGTTGGGACTGTAAATGCGAAGTGCCTCTTGCCTATGAGAGCTCTGGGGGCTGCTTTTGAGTGTTCACCTCCTGTTTCCAGCTGGATGAATGGGTACCCGAGCTGCTCAGGAGACAGAACGGATCAAAGGCCTCCTCAAGGCTGTGTCTCAGCGTGGAAGGTGACACCTTGTGGTGGTGGTCCCTGGCTGTCAGGCTGAAGGGTAATGCCTGAGGCCAGTGTTGGTTGGGAAGGGTGGAGCACTGACACAGAGGGAGCTGGGGCCTGGGGAACGAGGTTTGGTCTAAAGCAGAGCTCAGAGGGATGCTGGTGTGCCCTGAGACAGCAGCAAATATGCCTGGCAGCTGGGGTGGGAGGAGGTGACTGGAGAGGACCTCTTTGCTGGGAGTCTGTGAGAGGGCATTCCAGCCTAGTGCAGGGCTCGAGGAGAAGGAGCTTCGTTAGCGGGGTGGCACGTGGAGCTCAGATGAGGCAATTGCACCCGCTGGAGCCACCCACACCCCTCCCCACCCCGTGCAATGTGCTGACAGCCCCTTCACCCACGCTCCAGCACCATGGCGGTGCGTCTGTGGCAGCAACCAAGGGAGCAAAGGTTATTTACATTCATGTTGCAGCTCTGCCAGCCGTGACTCTGTTATCTGCCATGCATGAATATTATTTGAATACAGAGTCTGTCGTGACTATTCTTCCACGTGAAACGAGGGATTTGCTGTGGGATGGGACCCCTCCCTCCGGCTGTCAGTCAGGAGGGGTTTCCTTTTCCTGTCTCGTTGGAAGCCGTGTCCCCAGCAAGGTGAGACAGTGGACACTTTTTCTCTTGTTAATATCCGTGTCTAATCTCCTCTCAGAGGGGCCCTTTGTCCTAGACTGTAGCCA